TCTCCTCATATCCACAAATTTTGAATTCAGATTCGATGAGGGCTTCGTGATGCACTATCCATTTATTTCTCTGCTATCAGACTTTACGAAAAACGTGTTTGGTTCTACATGAGTATGAAACAATATAATGACAAATAAAAATAAAAGATATATAAGGTAACACAGACATAATAGGATTAACGGAAAGAGAACACAAAGAATATTCTAAGTAGAGGAAAATTCTATAAATTATAATAAATATAACATAAAAAAGGAAACAAAGAGTTAAAGGAGATGAAAATGAAGGAGAGATTTAGAGTAGCTAGATAAGGCAAAAGTCTGAACCTGTTTTTGTGTCGGCATTTGAAAACTAATTCGTTCCTCTGGTTCAACAGTTGGCTTTTATTATTGTATTATTTTTTTTTTCCTCTAAGCACGAATTACACCTATCTCTAAAACTGTTAAAGTTTGTGCAGAACCTACAATTTTGGTCCAAACTATTTAAATTTTTGTCCTTTAGTTCCCAAAATATTTTTGAAAGACCTGTTTAATGTTTAAGTTTAGAGTTATAGAATGAATACTTATGATTATTTGTTACTAATGTTATTTGTTCCGATTTCTAATACCCCAAACTTGTCTTCATAGGGTTAATATTCGCTGACATCATTTAATAAACCTTCTTCCCTTTAAGATAGATATTGACCACCTTCCCTGACCCCTGTCCGGTGCCATTGCCTGATGTATACATCAAAAAGTGTGAATTCTGTATTAGCCATAGTTGGCATGTTAAATTTTAGGTTGACCCCTTTTTCATATTTCTTCCTTACGGGTAATTTTTACTTCCTGCTTCCTCAAGATTTACGAACGTAAATTCCATTCCATATCGGGGTTGAAAAGACAGACGATCACTTGTATCCTCTGCCGAAATAGCCTATTCCCAACATGACGGGAAAAATCTTCTTTGATTATTCATTATATATATATATATATATATATATATATATATATATATATACAATGAAATGGACAATATTTTCTATGACAATTTCTCGGACATTCAGGCCGGTAAATATTGTCAATACTGTTTATTATAAACAGAGCATTTACTTAAATATTCGTATCTATAAAAAAGAATGTATAAACATAAAAATGTCTTATATATATGTTTGTATGTGTATGTGTTTGTGCGTTAGTGTGTGTGTGTGTGTGTGTGTGTGTGCGTGTGTGGTATTGCCGCCCAGACAATGTACAAAGCTTGTTCTCAGGGGGCAGTTTCTTCCAGTCAAACGCTTGTGGCATAAAAATTAACTTTAACAAATGGACGTGGTTGTTGCATTAGGCAAATTTTATTCGGTTGTAACCTTCTGCAGGAAACGAGCGAGGAAAGTTGAGGGGCTAAAGATCTAATCATCCTTTTCGCATGGCAGCCAGGTAGTTTCCTCTGTGTGTGTGTGTGTGTGTGTGTGTGTGTGTGTGTGTGTGTGTGTGTGTGTGTGTGTGTTTGCTTGTGTGTGTGTTTGTGTGCCTCTCTGACTATTGATGCTAGGAACAATTTTAGAGAACAGCGTTCTTTTTTCCTGTTAGCTCTGTCTAAAAAAGTAATTAAGTCCGCTTAGCTGACCTATTTTGTCAGACTCTTTTGACATGTTTCTTGTGAGGTCCGCTGATACTCAGCTGATAATCGTCAAGAGAGTAACTGTCGAAACAATTTCTGTTAGATTTTTTTTCTTTAAGAACGGATGTCATTGATATAATTACATCTCAAAGAAAAACTGTAATTAAATAGTTTTTCTTGTTTTCCTCTCAGTCCTTGGTCGTTACAGCAATATTTAGGGATAATAACATAGAAAAAATCGACAAATGAACTAAACAAACAATCTCACAATACAGGAAATAAAATAAAAAGATATCAGTTCAGTCGATGTCACCTGTGAATGAAAAAGTGTTCAGTTGTTGAAAGAAACTATACACAAAATTTAAAAAAAATAACATTGCATCCATTTCCTGATATCATGAGATAGATATTTTTGTTTTGTTTACGGGAAGTAAATCGGTGAAAGATTGTTTTCTCTTTTTTCCAAACATGTATACATGCATGTATGAAGATGTGTATCACACTTTAAATGTCTGTTGTGTTCTCATCCCGACTCCTTACATGAGTGTAGAACAGTTTGACTGTGACGTTATCCACAACTTTCGGGTGTTGCTTTTAATCAACGCCAATAGTTTCCATTCAATTTTACTGTAGTCCTGCACCTCCATCACGGACTCATTATTTATTACACAAATTAAAACTAAGCCCGTTATTTTGGGAAGTCATTATACTTATGAGAAAGACCTTGTCTGATTTTTCCAACACTTTCCTAATTCCGCTCAACAGGCAGACATTGATTTTTTTACGCACTCTTCATTCTTAAACGTACTAAAAAACTTCTCTCCCAATCTCTCCAACTACCGCTTTTCTTTCTTTTTTATCGTCTGTTGTTTTTAGAGACACAGCACGTACTAATGTGATTGGCAGTGTCCTTATAAATACCAGACCAGTATTTGCACCTCATAACTCTCAAACACTTTTTTTATTCCGACATGTCTATTGCCCTCATGATAATGTCGTATAATCTTTATACGCAGATGATTTGGGACATATAATACTACAGTAGGTTCGTCGGGTTTCATAAATAATAAAGTATATTATCCAACATATTTCTCGCCTTAGCACTTACGTTACCTGTTCTAATGTGATGTTTAAGATGCTTAATTTCCTGATCAACATCTTACTTTGAACTAGTATTTTACTAGTATTTATATCTTTTATTTGACGTTTCAGTTCATTTTTAATTGGATTCGAGCGCAATGTGAAAGTTTGCTGTTCAAAATAATTGGTTATTTACTGCTACCCCAGATTTCAATCATCTATATCTAACGAATTAAATTCCTTATCCGCTGATAGTTGGGTGATATTGATAAGACATTATTTTTATCTGGTTAATATTCTACCTTACAATCATGTCCTTCAATACTAAGTGTCCATGGCTGAATCTCCTTATTTTCTATTGTTTTTTCACAATGTACTGAAGAGTTTTGTTATCCGTAAATATTGTAAGTTTCGCATTATGAAAGTAGTAATCTAGTTTTTGTAATGCTTAAACAATATCAAATGCTTCCTGCTCTATAGAAGTTAGGCCAGACTGCGTATCAATTAATTGGTGAGACAGTAAATAAAGATACTCTCTCTTTCCATGATACCTCGACAAACAGAATTTCCTCTCAGGTACGCGCCGACAACTGAATTGGAAGATTCTGTACAGAGGTTATACAATTTATTCAAATCCGGTTAAGCGAGCATAGACATAGAATTAAGTTTATCTTTTAAAAGACCAAATTCTCACTGACAACTATCCGTCCATTTGAATCTGGCATTCTTTCGAGTTATTTAATGGTTCCGCCACAGGAGAGAATTTCAGGACAAGCACCGATAATATGAACACATTTATGCCGGCTAAAGCTACCCTCGTTTTTCATTGTTTTGGGAACAACTAATGATTTTATTGCCGCTATTTTATCCTTACCAGGGTTAATATCTTCCATACTTTACGGCAAAGCCTAGGTAATCTATTTCTTTAATTAAAAATTTACATTTCACTAGCTTTAGCTTAACTTTATGCCTACGAAGCTGGTTAAATATATTTTATAGATACGTTAAATGATCCACTTTTGTCGGGGAGAAAATTAAGATATTATCCATATAAACTGCTGAATACCTTTCCATTCCATCTAGAACAACAGAAAATAATTCTTGGAAAACTCTAGGATCAGTCCCCTGAGGGAACAAAAAGTTGTTTTCTTATATAGTTCATCTATTTCCACTTGCCAATAAGCAGACTTCAAATCTAATTTTGAAAAATAATTAGCGCCGCCTAAAGTTGTTAATATATCACCAATGCTTGACAGTGGGTAAGCGTTACTCCGAGTTATCTTATTCAACAAACGATAGTCAATGCAAAACGTTTTGTCCCATCATTTTTCTCGGTGAAAACAGTTCGAAAAGATGAAGATCTTCGTGATATTTTTATCCAATATCTCATCAATGGCTTCAAAGGAGTACGATACGGGTTCGGATTAAGTGGACGTTAGTTACCAGTATAGATTCTCATTTAAACTGTATCAGTTCTAACGAGATCTTTATCTTTAGCCGCAAATAAATCATTATTTCTTTCTAGTAATTTTTGGATGGGAACCCTAAATTCACTGGATACTACAATATGATTGGTATCCGTATTCTTACTACGGCTACTACAACCACTTGATACAGTATCTACGTTGACAGCTGGATAGACTCTACCCACTACACATCCCCGTCGAAGCCTAACAGTTTGATTAGTATTGTTAACAATAACAACTTGTATCTTCTTATGGTTATTCGTCCTTACTAATACACGGAAAAATACTTAGATATCACGAACCTATTTGCTTCATATAATATGGTTGTTCCTTTTCGAGTTTATTCCTAATTATAACTAAAGTTGCTGCCTGAGCTTTTAATGTGGCGCTATATATGCTATAAGGAAATCCTCTTCTAAAGATAATTATGTATCTTTAATGAGCAATGCTCCTAAATCATAGTGAATGCATTCACCATTTACCTGCAGCCAATCACGACCTAGAATAATATTTTGAATCACATAAAATCCGTGTTTGGCTGTTAGTCGACCGACTTGAACATTCATAGTCGCATATCCATTAACTGCTTGCTTGAATAATTTTAGTGCGCACCGGAATCATCTTGCAGATATATTTTGCTATCCACAAGAGCAGGTTTATCTTCACTTTATCAAACATCCTCTTATGTATAATTGAAGTCTACGCCCCTGCATCTTACAGTACTCTATAGCTTATTCCATCAATTTTCACAGTTGTAGTACTAAGTGTTGCCATAGCACTTATTTTTAGCGTTGGCAATGCTCCTTGTCCGACCTGTGACCTTCTTACAGATTATATATAGTTTCCTCTGAACTCTGCAGGATCCCTGCAGGTGCCCTTTACGAACACATTTCTCAAAGGCAATTGACGCACAGTCCGAAACCATTCGACCAGGTGGACAGTCCGAAACCATTCGACCAAGTGGACAGTCCGAAACCATTCGACCAGGTGGACAGTCCGAAACCATTCGACCAAGTGGACAGTCCGAAACCATTCGACCAGGTGGACAGTCCGAAACCATTCGATCAAGTGGACAGTCCGAAACCATTCGACCAAGTGGACAGTCCGAAACCATTCCATCAGTGTGTTGATTTTTCTTACAGCTACTTCTTTACAGTGGCAGTTGACTAGTTTGATAACCCCTTCTAGTCTACCTCCTACCCTGATCTATATTTCGATTTACTGCCTGTATATTAAACCCCTGCCTATGACGGTCGACTTCCATCGCCTCGTAGAAACGTTCATGCCTGGGCAGTTTATTCTAGGGTTGCCGGACCATGGTGTCTAATTATTTGAGTTTGGACCATGCTATGCAAATCTCTCCTAAATATACTAAGTAACTGCTTCTCCCTTCAAGGACCCCTACCTTGTCCAATCACACCTTGTTAAACAGGGAGACTGCCTTAAATTTATACTCTTCTATACGTCCATCCTCTAATTGTCTGATGGTCGATAGTCATTGTAACGCTTCAGTAGGATCTACGGCTTCCGCGTTACTTCGATCCACCAGTGCCCTCAGCTCGCTCCATGTTGTACCTGTGATTGACTCAAGGGAATTTGCTATTGTGTCCATCGCCTTCCACGTACATAATTGAGATGCTACGAGAGTTCTTCCTTCCTCCGGTATTTAGGCAGCCAAAAATTTTTTTTTTTAAATCTGCTTCATGCTTCATATATTTTTTATACCTATCAAACCGTGTGATATTCGAAATGAAGATGCAAGCTAAGGGATCATTTCGGTGCCCCACCCGTAAATTTCGTTAGTTACGTAATAGAGTATACTTGCAAACATTTGGGGGTCCATGACGGGAAGAGAAAAATACAAGAAATCAAATCAGCCACCTATTAGGATTTTTACTTTTCTACAGTTGTCTTCTTATGACTGGAGTTGTCGAATCGATGATTGACGTTAGACACTAGACAAATAATAATACAGCGATTTAGTGTTTTAGCTCAGATCAGGCATTTGGTTTGTTCTCAGAATGCAACTTCTTTCTGTCAACTGCCTGTGGCGTAGAAAAATAACTATTTGGCTAGACTGTTACTCACGAAACCATGATACGTGGTTTCAAAAGTAGGCACAATTTATTCGGTTGTAATCTTCTGTGATAGACGAGTAAGACAAAGGTGAGGCACATTAAGGAGAAACTGTCTAGTCTTCCTTTACCCGTGGCAGTCGGGCGGTCTCTTGACTCTCTTTGTACCTCTCGGACATTTGCTGCTAGGAAACTCTGTCTTATAGAGATCAACATTATTTGTCCTGCTAACTTTGTCTCAAAAAGTAATTCATCATCTCTAGTTAGCTGATCTATTTTTCAGGGTAATTTGGCATGCTTCTTATGAGGTCCGCTTCACTCAACTGATAATCGTCAAAACAATTTCTGTAACATCTTTTAGATGTTTTCTTTTTAAAAGATGTCGGCTGACACTGGTATCGCCACACACGTACACATACACATATACACACAAATATATATATAACTGAATATGTAGATTTTTTTATCTGTGTGTATTTATAGTGATGGGAATGTTTTTTTTATTTTTTATTTTTTTTATTTTTTTTTTGTTATTATACAAATACGGAATGCACGCTGAGGCCGTGCTCATTGTTGATATTATTGCCTGTTCACCATTTTTTTTATTATTAATGCTTTCATTATTTTTAATTGTTTTTACATGTGAATGAGGTTATTATGGTTGCATTTTCTACATGCATTTCTACGGGTAGTATGGAAAGCTATCCTTGTGGTATTTCACCGTAATGAATGCCTGTTGCTTGTGTAATTTATAGATTCTATTGTCCATTTTTAGTTCTTTGGTTGTCTTTTTGGCTTCACTATTTGTTGTAACCTAGGGAACGTTACTGAATAGAATAATCACACGATTGGTGATGAACGATAATACTTCGGACAAGAACAACACCTATAAGATTCGCCAGCGGCGCGTAGAAGTAGTAGTCAGCTGCTAGTAGTGATTCAAGTGAGTTCCATAATGAATCTCCAACTGCAGACCAATATACAATATTTACTACTGTATTTATGTGAAGGTAGACAGACCCATTATCGTCCGTAGGTATGCTACAATACTATTAATGGAAAATTCCCAGTTCTGGGGGATTTTTGTAATTCTTTTGACCTCCCTATTAATGGCTTTATGAAAGAGCCTGAAAATACACAAGAAATGTTTTAGGAATCAACCAGCGCCATAAAACCGCTAACCGCTAACACCATTGGTTCAATAAAATTAATAAGAAAAGTATCGATATTATTTATTTTTATTATTTTTTTTTTTACTTTTTGCTACCTTTACTATGCAACTATTGTTAATATTAGACTGAAAAGCATTTAACTTTTTTGCTAATCCATTATTTCCATTATCTTATCTCTAACCTTTTTTATTAGTATTGTTTTGTCACTTTCTCTTTTTTTCTAACTTTTGTCTTACTATTAGTAACATGTTTATTTATTTATTTGAATTTATTAATTTTATTTGCTTTTTGTATTTGTTCTATTTTTTTACATATTTATATGTTTCTATTTTATTTTACTTATATTATTTTATTTTCATTGATTTGTACTATTTTTATTAGTACTTTAATTTTAATTTTATTTTATCACGGCATATTTTATTATTATTGATATCACTACACTTATTCAGTTTATTAATATTATTAATTACTTTATTGAGTTTCTTGGAAAAATAGAGTTGCCTCCCTTGATTTTCAAACACTTTTTTTTTATTCATTCCTTTTGATTACAACAACGTTCTTAAAATTAGAATTTATAATTCTTATTTCCAACCTTATTTTCAATCTTAATGCTAATGTGGGCCTAAATTTTAATCCCAAATTAAACCACAACTCATTTAAATATTTTAACATGAATAATAATCCACCCTTACAATAAAATATCTTGCGATAAACAGTAATATTATAGAAGCAGTGTTAAACCCCCCAAAATTGCATTTGACGAATGCAGAATGTATTGAAACTCCGAGTTGTGCAATGGTCAGCTTCAGTTAACCTTTGAAGATTTCATTTCCATTTTATGCCGAAATCATCACCTTCGTGTTTTCTGGCAATAAATGGCTGGAAACCAATAAGTATAAAAGCCTTACTCCTTGGGACCTCTTACAAACAGCACCTGCTCTCTTCACTAAAAGAACTAAAGTTGCGAATTGATTCTGAGAACAATGACAAAAATAAAATCAGTGAAACTTCAATTTCCGGACATACACATCAGACAAAAATAAATCAATACCCACATAAAACATTTTATTTATTGTCATCGGATTGCATATTAAATGCATATTGCAACATATTTAGGGGAAAATAAAGTGATTATTCACTTCGTGGAGATAGTATCCACTTGTCAGGGGCTTGATAGCAGAATAGAAATCTATTTACAGATTTTTTTTTTTTTTTTTTTTTTGGAGTGAGTGAGAGAGGCAGATGCAGTAACAAATATTACACAGTGTACAATCATCTTTCTTCAATGAGCTTTTCTCCCTCGTACATATTATCCCTCCATTTTAATCAGTGAATAACATTCTCCAATTTATGCTGGTTATTTTTAAAAGCTGTGAATTGTTTGTCTATCGAATCATTAAAATCCCTTTGGACTGTATTGTGGCCTTTTAGCTCTCTTTAGCTACTTCTATGTTTTGGTACACGCTTATAAATTTCTCTGATTAAATGACATGTCCAGTGTCACCTGCACTTATAGTTTTCTGTTTCAATGTTTTTTCAAAGCTTCCAGGCCCGCTTTCTTTGACATTCATTTTTGTATTTCAGTGGCAATAATTAAGACTAGTTATACTGATAATTATTTCTTGAATCAAGCAAATACAATGTCGTCTGTCGCCTTTGCAAAAGCATCGATTCAAGTAAAGGATAAGAGAAAAGTATCAACTTGGCAAGACGGAATATGATTTTTTCGATTTAATTTTTTTTTTTTTTTAATCAGATTCTAAGGAAATGTTTTAATCTTTTTTGCTTCCATTTCGTTATTCGTCTCTGTGAAATAATCACATAAAAAAGAAAATGCTTTTCACCCTCTTTTGTCGTTTATTCTGGGTGATTGAAATAGTTTTCCTTCATGTTCGGGACTTATCTACCTGGAGCAATTGTACATTTAATACTTACTATACTCCTGGCTTTTATTCGAAAACTTGTCAGCAGTAGACTATGTTTTATGTGCTTCATATCACAACAATTATAGACAAGATCCTTCTCATTTTAAGGAATATATCAATTTAGCAACAAAAGAAAAAATAAATTTCGCAGACAACCGAAATATTTCGGGAGGCATTTTTGGAGAAAAAATGTACAAGCCACCAGAGTTATACAAAATCTATCCGGTACTTAGCAAGAGATTTTGAATATTTTGATAACAGGTTGCATGGACTTGATGTTACTTGGTACCTAATCATAAGGATCTTATTGCGCATCTATTAGCACACCCGCTACTGTGGGAGTTACTCAGCCGGCATTGAAATACTATTTAGTGAAGTCGCCTACTGTGTGACCAACGCAATATCAATGATCGCATTAGTAGATTGTTCCCGTCTTTTGCAGGTTTTTTGGCAAAACATCGCGTTATTGGTACCATATTTCAGACTTTCACCTTTAAGAAAAGCTAAAACCAAATTTGCACTCTCATGAATGAGATTAAAAACAAAATGACCTCAGATGAAAAGGCTCTTTTGAAAAGGGTAAGAAACACTTGGATATGTATATGTAGGTAACTACTCTGTGCATAAAACATATCATCCTAAGTACAATATCCAACTATGGTCGTATACTCTCCATAAATACCTTGTATAGGTGGAAATATTCGCGCAAGTTTACAGTCGTGTCCAAAAGTTTAAGAGCACCCAACATTTTTAGCCATGGCATTGGATGCTTGTCTGAAATCTTATTCTTCATGCAATCCCACAAATTATCCATGGGTTTGCCGTCAGGCTATTCTGATATAGTGATCTTAACTTTCTTAATATACACTTGCATTTGCTTTTTTTCGTGGTATGGGGCACCATTATATATTAATTACCTGCAACCATGTATGTTTATAGGAATCTCTAGTTTATCCTGCACAGTTACAGATATTTTTAACTTTTTATGGTTGTTCCAT